TTCTAAGCTTCACCTCTGTTGATCCCCAATTTCTCATCTGATGACCCCCCTGCAACTGTGCCTGAGATGACTGAATGTTTTTTAATGAGTAAATTGACTTTGGTGGTTCCTTATAATTTCCTCAGGAATAGATTCCTCAAGAGTGAATCATCTATTCACTCTTCAACAAATTACAACTTGTCTTTTCCCTACTTTGTTGTTACCTGAAGGTCGTGCTGTTGTAATTGCCAACTCTAATGGACAGTACAGGATAAACCCAAGCTCTGTGTCAAAGCACACAAACATCCATCTGCTTACCTTCACACAATTTACCTACAAGAGTACCAGGCTATTTGTATGTACTTCAAAACATCACAGTTTTTCATGGCTCCATGACAGGTTAAGTGTTTGTTACCATGTTAAAACATTACTTAATAAGGCCCAACAGCATTTGAATTACCTGGGATCTTGTTAGAAATACAGAATCCCAAACCCCATTCCAGACTTACTGAATCAGATTCTGCATACTAACAATATTCCAAGTCATCTAAACAGATGCACATTAAAGTTTTAGAAACTGATTTGGAACATTTCACCCTTCCTTTAAATTCCAATTACATTAAATCCCAGTTAAGTTCCAGTTTAAAGCTATAGTTGGCATCTTTCTGGAATTCTCTTCTAGCCCTTTCCCCATGACTTCACCTGTCCTCTGCCTTTCCTCTTCTTTTTAAAATGTTTACCATCTCTGTGTCCCCTGTATCATTTAGTAGTCATCTGTGTATCTGCTTCTCAATATTTAAAAAAATTTTCCTGTGCTTTACCTCTGATTCTTCAGCACTTAAGTCTGCCTGGCACAGAGAAGATGTGCAATAAATGATGAACTCTAGTCTTACTTAATTCTACAGAAATTGCCAACAGTTCAAGAAAAATTAATGACCAACTATTGAAGACAGATGCTTACATAATATGAAACCTTATTAATGCCTAGTTATTTGGGTTGGGAGTGGTAGGGAATGAGAAAATAGGGGAGAGATGGGATACAAAACATTATGTCATTAATTTCTGTAATATTACTGAAGCATTCAACTCATGTCTTCCATTCCTAGTTCTTAATTTCCCATTATTAACATGTACATTATTGGTACCCTCATATTAGTTCTGTGCCTAATACATTTACACTGCCCTATTTTTTAAGTCCGATAAATAGAGCAGTATTAGAAGACATATGATCACCTCATTACACATAACAGCATATGATTCATTTTTGCATACTCTTAGTCATATACAAACAGTTCATATTTCAAAATGCAGTAACTTATTTAGATATATGTATAATTGTACTTTTTATCTAATCACTTTTGTTACTTTTTCAGGTGGTTGACTAACATTGCTCTTTTTAGAGACAATACTACCAAAATATTCACTAGCTGTCTTAACTAGTTGCTGTTATATTGTTTGTATTATGGCCACTCTTAAAGTAAGCATCTTTATGCATACATTTAAAAAGATTTAGTCACAGGAAAAATTCTACAACGTAGAATTTTATCATGAAAATAATACCTGGATGTAACCTGTATTTTCCTGTATTTCTTTAGTCTTTTTTTCCTTAAGCATAGATAACTGTTGTCTATAGTGCTTTCAATTTTTTTTAACTTTCTACTGTGAAAAAATTTCAACAAACACAAACGAAGAATAGAATAATGAACTCCCATATATCTATCATTCAGCAGCAACAGGTATAGACTGGTGACCAATCGTGTTTCATCTTGCTCTCTTAACTTTTTTGGCTGAAGTATATTAAAAGAAAATCCTAGATATATCTTGTTATCTATATGTCAGCTTTAATTTCTAACTGTGTGTGCATGTGTTTGTAACCACATGCATTATTACATGTAATCATTGTCATTTACATGTACAATTACACGTAACAAATTACATGTAGTTAATTCATTGATGTTAAAAAGTTGTAAACATGTAGTTGATAATTCATTAAAAGACATGTTAAAATTTCTGATTGCCTCAACAATTGTGTTTGTGTATGCATGCACACGTGTGCAGCTAAGTTACTCAAATAATGATCTCAAAAAGGCCCACACTTGGCAATTGATTGATATAAGAATACACATTTTACATGGTTATAACTGTGCCATACATAGAAGCAAAACTTTTTGTCCTTTTATATTATTTAACATCCTTTGATAAATGTTTCTGCCCTTACATTAACATTTTACAGTATTTTTAAAAGCTGTTGAATTCCACTGTTTTAGATAACCATATATCTCCATTATGCTTTTTGACTTGTTTCTAATTTAACATGAATATATTTGTGAATAAAGGTGGTTTTACATTTAGGATTAGACTAGGAGCTTGGATTTACTGGGTCAGAATAGAGTTGACCGTTTAATAAACATTTGTTGTGAGCAAGTACACAAGTATTTTCTTTTCCTTAATAAGCTTATTTTTTTAAATGTTTAAAAGGCCTTGTAATGCATTTCACAGTACTTCTAACAAGGTTTTATCAATTCTTAATGCTGCCTGAAATATTTGAGAGTCGTTTTTACTGCACAGTCTTGCCAGAATTGATGATTGTAATGTTTAAACTTGTTATAGGAATCGAAAAAAACCAGTATTTTAGCATAGTGTCTGGCACATAAGTAGTTCATTATTATCATTGAATATACCTACTTTTTCTTATAATTCTTTTAAGACATCATTTTAAACAGTTAACTTCATCTGAAATGCATTTTAGCGTTCATCCACCTTAAATTTGTTTTAATGTGTTCTATAAGGTAGTCTCATTTTCTTTTTTTCTGAAAAGTCATTGTTTACAGTCACCAATTACAGAAAAACTTAGTTGTTTAAAGCATGGACCATGAGCCAAGACTTCTTGGATTTGAATCCTGACATTACTACTCAACTGTGATTTGGAGAAGGCTAGTCAAGGAGGAAAATAGTTAATACCTACCTTAAAGGATTATGCAGAATAAAGAAATTAACAAATAAGAAGTCCTTCAACTAGTACCGAAACAAAGAATCCTTCATAAGAACTGGTTATTATTATTTAATGACTAAGCCATCATTTCCACACTAGTAGGGAATACCACTTCCATCACCTAATGGATGCAGGTGTGTCTAGGCTTTTATTTAGTTCCCTTGATCTGGCTTCCATCAACAGCACAGTATTTTAATGATTATAGCTTTATACAGGCATGCTTCATTTTATTGTGCTTTGCTTTACTGTACTTTGCAGGCATTGCAATTGTTACAAATTGAAGATTTGTGGCAACCCTGCAATGAACAAGTCTGTCAGCAACACTTTTCAAACAGCTGTTCACCTTATCTTTCTGTGTGTCACATTTTGGTAATTTTCACAATATTTCAAATGTTTTCATTATTATATCTGTACCAGGGTTATGGATAAGCAGCTTATAAGGTTTATTTAGAACTTGGAAGCGAGGATCAGATATTCAGATAAGTGACGATCACCTACTAAGGCCTATTAATTATACAACTGCAATTGAGATATCTGGATTTCATCCAAAGTTCTTTTAATTTGCTACCTAGCCTTGGAAGAACTTTCGTTGTCTTGCCCTTAGGTTTCATTTATCATGAAAATAAACATAATAACCACATCTTGAGAAAATAAGAGAATAAAACAAATACATTTTACTTCAAACAGAAGTATCATATAAACTCCTGACCCTCAAAACATACAGGTACCCCTCCTTTTATTTCACTTCACTTTATTGCACTTCCTAGATACTTCACAGTTTACAAACTAAAGGTTTGTGGCATCATTTTTCAAACCACTGCCACCAGTTTTTTTAGATAATTTTACAGTTCATGACTCTGTATCACATTTTGGAAATTCTCAAGTACTTCAGATGTTCCCATTATTATTATGTTTCTCACGGTGATCTGTGACCACTGAATGTGATGTTACTATTATAAACATTTAAAGGTGCCGTAGACCCTGAAAACAGAAGACAATGACTTAATCAGTAAATATGTGTTCTGACTGCTCCACCAACCAGCATCCCCAACCTCCCTCCTCCTCAGGCCTCCCTCGTCCCAGAGATACAATATTGCAATTCAGCCAAATAACAACTCTAAAATGGCTTCTAAGTGTTCAAGAAAGGAAGAGTCCCAGATGGCTCATTTTAAATCAAAAGCTAGAAATAATTAAGCTCAGTGAAGAAGGAATATTGAAAGCTGAGACAGGCCAAAGCTTCGCCTCTGGCACCAAACAGTTAGCCAAGCTGTGAATGCAAAGGAGAAGTTCTTGATGGAATTAAAAGGGCCACTCCAGTAAACACACATGTGAGAAAACAAAACAGCCTCATTGCTGCTATGGAGGAGGTTCTAGTGCTTTGGACAGAAGATCAAACCAGACACAACATTCCCTTAAGCCAAAACCTAAGCCAGAGCAAGGCCCTAACTCTCTTCAATTCCATGAAGGCTCAGAGAGGTGAGGAAGCTGCAGAAAAGTTGGAAGCTGGCAGAGGTTGGTTCATGAGGTTTAAGGAAAGAGGCCACCTCCATGAATAAGAGTACAAAGTGAAGCAGCAAGTGCGGATGGAGAAGCTGCAGCAAGTTACCCAGAAGACCCAGCTAAGATCATTAATGAAGGCGGCTGCACTAAACAACAGAATTTCAGTGTAGACAAAGCAGCCTTTGAAAGATGCTATCTAGGATTTTCATATCTAGGAAGGGTGAAACAATGCTCGGCTTCAAGGCTTTAAAGTGCGGACTCGGCTAATGCAGCCAGTGACATTAAGTGAAACCAGTGTTCATTTACCATTCTGAAAATCCTTGGGCCCTTAAGAATCATGCTAAATCTACTCGGCCTGTGCTCTCTAAGGGAACAGCAAAGCCTGGATGACAGTACATCTGTTTACAGCATGATTCACTGAATATTTTAAGCCCACTGTCGAGACCTACTGCTCAGAAAAAAAGGATTCCTTTCCAAATGCTCTGCTTATGGAGAACACACCTGGTCCCTCAGGAGCTCTGACGGAGAGGCGCAACAAGACTAATGCTGTTTTCATGCCTGCAAACACAACATTCATTCTGCAGCCCGTGGACCGAGGAGTAATTCTGATTTCAGGTCCTATTATGTAAGAAACACATTTTGTAAGGCTACTGCTGCCGTAGGCAGTGAGTCCTCTGATGGATCTGGGCAAAGAAAAACCTTCTGGAAAGGAATCGTCATTCTAGATGTCATTGAGAGCACTTGTGCTTCAGGGAAGAGGTCAAAATACCATCATTCACAGGAGTTTGGAAGGAGCTGATTCCAACCCTTGTGGATGACTTTGAGGGATTCAAGACTTCAGTGGAGGAAGTAACTGCAGATGTGGTGGGAAGAGCAAGAGAACTAGAATTAGAAGTGGAGCCTGTAGATGTGACTGAATTACTGTAATCTCATGGTGAAATGCGTGAGGGGTTAATGCATGAGGGGTTGCCTCTTATGGATGAGCAAAGAAAGTGGTTTCCTGAGATGGAATCTACTCTGGGTGAAGATGATGTGAAGACTGTAGAAAGGACAACTTAGGATTTAGAGCACTACGTAAACTTAACTAATGAAGCAGCAGCAGGGTTTGAGAAGACTGACTCCAATTTTGAAATCAGTTCTACTGTGAGCAAAATGCTATCAAACAGCATTGCACGGTACCAAGAAATTGTTCATGAAAGAAGAGTCAATTGACATGGCAAATGTCATTGCTGTCTTATTTTAGGAAAGTGCCACAGCCACCCCAACCTTCAGCAGCCACCACCCAGAGCAGCCAGCAGCTGTCAACATCCAGGCAAGACCCTCCATCAGCAAAAGGTTATTATGAATGACTTGCTGAAAGCTCAGGTGGTAGTTAGCATTTTTTAGCAATGAAGTATCTTTTAATTAAGGTATGTACATTTTTTTTTGGACAGTATGCTACTGCACACTTAAGACTACAGTATAGTGTAAACATAACTTTTATATTCTCCGGGAAACCAAAAATTAATTTGACTCCTTTCCCGCAGTGGTCTTTATCCACACCTGCAATATTTCTGAGGCACGTCTGTACAACTCACTGTCCTACTGAAGAGCAATTCCATGCACTAGGTAGACCAAGTATCCTGCACGAACAAAACACATCAATATCCTCAGAAGAAACCAAAGACTCTGGTGAAGCAACAGCAAAGAGATGCAACACATCCAAGCGTGGGGTCAGGGTGTCCCACGTCTGCCTGACAGCAGTGCCCAGGGGAGCTCTTGCCACAAAACCGTTTCTCCAAGCCTGCTGATGCCAACAGGGACCCGGGAATCTGAATTCTTAACAAGTGTCCACAGAGTTCTCATCAGTTCAGCTTGGAAAACACTAATTCATTCACTCTAATGAAGAGAAATTTCATCAAGGAAGACTGCTCCATTATTATAATGCTTTTTTCTCTTTGAGGGTACTTTTCTGGACTAAAGTCTGGACTAAAATGCAATAAAACAACAAGGTTCCCTTTTTTCCAGAGGACTGAGATTAAACTATAATTGTTAAGAACACAGAGATATAATTATTTCATCATGTTCCATCATGAACCCTGAGCTTTGTTAAGTGTTAAACAATCTAATTTGGACATATCCAAACCTTTATTAATTTTCCCAACAAAGCAAAGATGCAAAAGGAGAATTAAGGCTGACACAAAAATGTAGCTACGTGGTAACCAGAGAACAATTCCTGTGAATCAAGAACCACAAACTCATATGCCTACAGGGGGTGGCAGTTAACAGGGAGGAGCAAAACAGGGCGGGTCAGGAGAAACCGGGCTGTTACTCAGCTGCATCCAATTGTGGCCTTGGGAGACTGGGGGCCCAGATATGACAAATCTCTAGACGTTTTCAAAAGCTAGAAACCTAATACTACTGTCAAGTTTCCCAATTTTAAATCCAAATTTTAATTTAGAAATTGCTTATTTGCTCTGTTCCCCAGTCAGGACCAACACATCAGGTAAGTGTCCTGTCACGATACATGTAGATGCTTTCCAATTTTCTCTTCCAGAGATTCCACTTATCCTTTATTTCAAACAGCCAACAACACTGGTGCCCCAGACCCATAATACTGACAAACTTCACTCATGACTTTCAAGATGAACACATTCCGTGTTAACAGGGAGGGACACTGAGGGAGTCGGAGACGGACACAGTGGGAGACGGAGGAAGAAAACCAAGCAAGCAGATCCAAACTGAGAGTAACGTTGGAAGCAATTTTTGAAAGGAGCCAGGAAAAGGAAAGGGCAGACTCAGCACCTGGAGGGAAGCTAAGGCGCAGCTAGCGCCCTTGGGAAAGGGAGACCACCACCCCGCTCTCACAGCCCCGGCCTGGGACACGCTGCAGCTCAGCCGGGCTCGCCTCTCCAGGTGAGACAGCCACAAAGGGAGGGGCTGAACCTCTCTAAACTGTTTTCCTCCTTTGTAAAAGAGGAATACAAAGAGCTCTTCGCTCAGAAACTTCAAAAAGTTTAAAAGAGAAAGCGTTTTAAAATGGTACATAGACAATTTAGTTTTTTCAAATGAAGATGTTTCTTGGCAAAGGGAGAAAGGCGTCAATAAAAAAATTAATATTTTTACTTTAATAAGCTCAGGGTCTGCCACAAGGCTGGGAGGGTGCAAAAGTGATTTCTTACAGATCCCTCCACTATGATACAGCCATTCACTCATTCAACCAATTACAACTAAGCCTGTCATGATGATTCACCAGCAGAGAAAACAGAGGTGAGCTAAAGGGACAGACCCTGCTTTCAGGGAGACTACAGTGTAGCAGGAAAAATATTAAAATACAAAAATAAGTGTCTCAACTATTAGCTGCTCTTTGAGGACAGAGAATGTCTAATCACTGTAAGCCCAGTAACCACAGAAGGCACTTAATTTCTGAGACAACACAAGCTGTTGCGTGCTTCCAATCCTGGCTCCCCAGCAACTTCTCCTAGCCACGAGACCACAGGCAGGTGACTTACCACTTTGTGTTCGATTCTTCACTATCACTGCCGGTGCTAGTAGAAGCACCAACCTCATAAGGCTGATGAGTTAATTCACAAAAAGCATCAGAAAAGTTAAGTGCTCATACATATTGCTATAATTAATATTCCCGACTGGTTAACTAAAACAAATTATTTTCTCCATTCATTCAATTACTCAAATACGGCACAAGACTTCCTTGAAACCAAACTGCTTCCTGCATCAAACAGACTACATCATATACATGTAGCCTGCTCTAGCCTGAGACACCTAGGTACCTCAAACACAAACACAGAGCTACCCTTCTCTGAGGCACACACTCCACTCGGTAATACTACCTGTGAAAGTTCAGGGCTTTCAAGCAAATGTGTCATTTAAAGTATTTAAGTAGAATTAGATGTGACAGCAGGCTTTTGTGAGAATATATACTAATCTTCTTACACACTTAGCCTTAACTTCTTAGGACCCTAAGTCAAGATTTTGCCAGTATCAGTTGGGTATACTGGTAAATGAGTGGAATGCAAAAGAGACAGAATTCATCAGACAGAACAAAGACAAAACTCCTATAACAGGAGTTACTAATCATCTTTTGTAAATAACACAAATTTGCAAGCCAGCATGAGAGAACATGGAAACTTTACCTATATAATATAATATAAAATTTTCTATCCAGACCCCAAGTAATGGCTGTTATGATTTTATAGCCAGTTATTAGCCAGGCTCAGAGAACTCTTGGCAAGACCCAGAAGATCCAAACTGCAACTCTGTCACAATGTTGTGTAATCTTGAGAGAGTATTAACTGTTTATTCTACACTTGTTTCCTCATTTTATAGCCAACTTAAGAAACTAATATAATCTGACTGCAAACGATATTATGTGCTATAACTGCAGTGCTTAAAAATTACTTACAAAAAACAACTCCCTGAAGAGCATGGTGCCTGAAGAGGAAATACATTAAGAAAATCAAAATTCGAACAATGATACAACAGCTAATGATTATAGAGAATCTATACATGCCAAGCACTGTATACTTCACGTGTACTAGTTCATTTTATCTTTCAAAGATGCCTAGGCGGTAATTATTACTATTTTTCACATAATGAAACTGAAGCTCAATGAGATTAAGTGGCTTGTCCCAGGGACAAATGGCAAAACTCGGGCACTCTCACTCGGGAGGCCAAGCTCTTCATTGTTACACAAGTCTGTCTCCCCAGCTTGGCCACTAACTAGCTATATGAGCTTGGGCAAGTCATGCCTATCCCCTTGGGCCTCAGTTTCTCTAACTGAAAAAGACGAGTCCTTGAGGTTGAAGGTTGCTTCCGGGTCCTAAGTGCTAAAAGACCACACGTTTCGTGGGGGCAAGGGAGGAGGTTGAGGTTGGGACGCGGTCACAAGCCAGGATGCCGCCTCCGGTCCACTCCAGGCAGGCCCCCGCAGCTCCCACCCCAGTCCCCTTCTCAGTACCGCGCTCAGAGTGAGGCGCTCCGCGGTACAGGGACGCCGTGCACCCAACAGGCAATAAGGTGCACCGAACCCGTCCTGCGCGGCAGCCCTGACCCGAGCCCCTCAGAGTTACCCGTCCATTACATCCAGGTGCAGATAATCGGCCCCAGAGTCCAGCATCCGGAGGCACTCAGCTCCCAAATTGGCCAGGTCGCTGTTGAGGATGGACGGGCCAATCTTGCAGCCGGACGCCATAGTGCTGGCTCCCAAGAGCAAGTTACCCCACGAGTGCCTCGCAAAGACGGAGCACTCGACTGGATTGGCGGCGCAGGTTTGGCCCCGCCCCTTCCCCCCTCACAGGTTCCCGATTCCGCCGGAATCAGTCGCCCTAGAGGGAGGAAGTCCCGCCTCCCCCTCCGGGGCGGAGCAGCCCCCGGACGGCTTAGGGGCGGGGCCTCGCGTAGAAGCCATTTCCTCCTTTCCTAGAATTTTCGCACCTGAACAGGCGTTCTGGGTCTCCAGTCCTCGAGGAGGTAGCGAGGAGTTTGTTAGGTTTTTTTCCGGCTTACATACCCAGCAGTTACCTTTCCTCGGCGTTTGCCCTCACTTTTTGTTTCTGCATCGTGTGCATGTGCGCTCCTTTCCTTTCTTCTCCACGCCTTGTGAAAAAAAATGCTTGCCCTTAAAAATAAAAAATGCTTCTTTCTTGTTTCTCTTTCCTTGATCTCCTAAGGGCTGCAAGAGACAGATTTAGGGCGGTATCCTGGCTCTGCCCGGTACTAGCTAGGGGACCTGCCAAGCCACTCCTCCCTGACAATGTTTTATCCTCTGTTAAGGCAATGACCGGCATTTAGGGTTGTGAGGATTAACTAAGTTTATCCAGGCAATGCGCCCAGCACGGGATGCGTGGGGTTCAGTACAAAGAACTGGAAGTTGTTACTGTGACTCTGATTCTGGTCCTCATCCATCCCTCTTACCATCCCTTCTGCTTTTCCTTCTCGGGAATGCACACTGTTAAATTGTAAAACATTCGTTTATTGTGCCGACACAGTCCAGAAGAGCGAGTGTCTGTTCCTTCACCAAATGTGTCTAGGATCGTTGGGTCAGGAAGAGATGAAGTAAAGCTATAAGGAAGAAAAAGTACTTAGCAACAGTGCACTTAAGAGGCAAAGGGTAGGGCACTTTGTACTGTATATAAAACACAGAACTAGTGGTAACTTGGACCACATGGTGACTCTGGCCACATTCAGAGGACAACCAGGTTTTTAACATCCCTCCTGGGAAATCTTCCAGTCATTCCAGCAGGTCAAAACCTGGGCAAAGTCAGTTGGAGTACCGGCCTCCCGGTAAGGCCATGGCTTTATCTTGAACGTTAGGGGTATACAGTATGAGTAGAATGGAGCTCAGCCGTGTGGAGGGAGGAATTGGAAGTGGCTAGTTGGAGGGTGACCTCAGGTTTAACTTTGGGGGTTTAAAAGAGACATCAAGTCACTCCCTAGAGATCCAAAATGAACACTTTCCTGAATGGGTTAACATATTTCCTATATTGAGGAATCAGAAATGAAACAATCAGGGATCTTATTTTTAGATTTATTTTATTACATGTGCATATTCAAACACAGATGTCTTAATATCTTTCATAAACGTTCAGTATTTATTCATATGCATTTTTTTCATGCTCTTTGGTCATTCAGTATTCATAACAGACTTCATAGTCAACTGAGGGAAGTAGGCTGTGTAATGAATCTTGTGTTTTTATCTATAAAATGGCTAATAAAGGATTTTTATCCTGCAGTCACAGTGACTATTGAAAAATATTATGGAGGTACATTGATCTGTAATTCTAAATGATCCTAAAATAATACAAGTAAATTTGTCTTAAGCTTTTCCAAGTACATTCTGCCCTTAACTTGGTTTTATTCTCCTGAGTGTCAAGCCAGACTTTGTTACTGAAATGCAGTTGAGACCCACCCAAGTAAATGAGGAAGCAGGACCTTATACTCACTGCCAAGACAGGGCCATAGAATTGGAAGTGTGAGGTCACAGGGTAACATCATGACTCTGTGACAGCAGCAAATTCCAGAGACTATTAAAGTATCCTGTATATCTTGAGGAAGGGTATTTAATTTGTGTTTTGGACTATAATTCTATTTATAACTCTTTCTTCCCTGTTGGCCTCTATACATACCCTATTTTCATCTTAGATAACTGTTGGAGCCAGACAGCAGAGCGGAGAATGTTCTTCATTGACTAAAGGTTAAGATGCTAAAGGAGGGAGGTGGTCACCTGTCTAAGGTACTCTTGGGGGCTTGAAATAGCAAACCAGTTACCCCTAGCCCATGCAACAGACACTAACCAGACTCCCAAACACCACAGATTTTTTCCCCCAGCACTGCCATTCCCATTGATGCCTTTTGACACTATAGTTCTCAGAGCCTTGTCCCAGTGCATTCAATAACTTGATTTCCTAATCAAATAACTTATCTAATAGAATTACAGAAGCAGCAAACACTGAAAAGAAAGTAAAATGTTTTGCTATAGAAAGTGCTGTATCCGGCATTTGAACTGCCCTAATTGAATCTGAGTAGTATAAATCTACTCCCACTACCATGGATGATATTTGTTTATTCCAAGGTCTCTTAAAAGTTAATTTCAGAAGAAGCAACCTCTTGGCTGAATCCAATTTTTTATACATGAGAAGTAGATGTCTGTTTCAATTTTCCTTTGAACAAGATAAGTATCACTAAGCTCTATAGCTTAAGAAATGATCTAGTATTATCAATACTATATCATATGTAATGATTTTTAGTCTACTCAATAGTTTTTACATCGTGTTGTGTTACAAAAACATTGTTAATTATCTTGAACTTTTTTCTAATCTTCCCCTTCCAATCTTTCAAACTCCAGGTAACAGTATTCCTGAGAATACATCTTGTGACAATCTTACGCACATACATAGAGATACTTTATCGATTATACATAAACATTGAACACATTACATTCAAGGGCACCTTAAATGAAACAGATGCACAGATCAGCAAAATCTCAGTAGTCCCAGTATGAAACATTCCCACTCTGTAAGGCTGTGTTTCTCAGAGTGGAGGCTTTTTTGCAAGGTACAACAATACTTAGCTTATTGAAAAAGTTTCCAACAGACTTTCATAACACTAGAGTGAAGGAGTCAGGCTAAAAGGCAGACAGGCCAGCATAATCATGTTCAAAACAACCCAATACCTTTAAAATATATATATAGGTATTTAGGATTCTTATAGGATATATAACCATCTTCTTTGATCCCTTTACTTTTTAAATATTTGATACAATTATACATAGAGAATTTGAATCAACAATCAAGAAACTAGAACAAAGTGCACACATATAGAGAGACTCATATAGCTCAGACGTAGTCACCAAACATAAGGCCTCTTAACACTAATTGAGCAGCATAATTTTTAACAAGCAAAATACATCAGCTTAGAAAGAATCATAAAACCACTTATATGTATATTTCAGCATTAAGTGTAAATGTTCTGAAAATATTGTAAAACATAAAAGAGGCCATTTACCACCTCTATATTCTGAAGTTTTAGATTTGAAAATTTTAGATTTGTCCATTAACTCACAGATATCTTTCATTCTTAGTAAATGGGACCAAAACCCCAAATTATATTGGGAAGCATAAATCACAATATAAATAATGCCTATTTAATAAGCAATTCTAACAGAAAAATAACTTTCCTTTGTGATTTGAATGGGTTTAGTAGGTCTCCTCTCTCTATATATATATACGTATACTTTTCATAGCTAACCTAGTCCAAGTTTAAGCATACAAGATATGATTTTAAATTCATTGCAATATGATCAAAATCTGAGGACTAGAAAACACACACACACACACACACACACACATACACACACACACACACCACCATACCAATTTAGGTATGTATATGAGTTTCTATATGCTTAGTAGTTAGGTAATAGTTTTATAAGGTAAACTGTTAAGATTTTGAAATTCAATTTTGAAATATATGATGCCAAGCCCAATATATGATCAATCACACACCAGATATGGCCTTACAAGCCTTCTAAATTTTGTACTTTTCTTGATCTTCAAATTAAAGTACACAAGCTGACTTTATCTATGAAGAGGTTGCTCACTTTACCTTTTTTTCCTCATAAACTTAGATGTCTAAAGGATCATAAGAATATTGTTAACACTGAGAAAAAGTTATTTCATTGAACCAATTCTAACAACCATAACCTTAGTATCTGAAAATATGCCCTTAAGGGCAGGCACAGGATACTGTAAAGAAAAATAATAACATTTTCCAATATCTCCTAATCTTGGCAATTGAACTAGTCAGGGCTAGTATTAGGAATAACATCTCTTTCTAGCTATCATATTTACATTTAGTTCTTATAATATAGGCTATTTAGGTTCTCCTTAATTTAGAATTATATCTGATAATTTTTAGAATATTTTCTATCTACTGTGATTGATTATGAAATGGAATGATCTTATGCCATTAGCATTTTGATTTACAACCTACAGTGAAAATGATGGTTGAAAAATAAATATTGAAAAGTCCACAGCTCTAAAAATAGTTTTATTTTTCTTCTTCTAAAAGTATATAGTTGATCAAAATGGCTGCAGGTTTATATTCTGTCTAGCCTCCTCAAACTAAAATTTCCTCATTTTAATGTAAATGGTTAGTTGTACAGCCACCTGATTTAGTTATTTTTGAAACTATAAAAATAAACATTTGCATGAGATGTATGATGTGAGTAACCTCAAAAAATTGCATTCGCTAATTGGAACATATTATTTGTTAATATTCCTAGGGAAGCAGCTCTGTAATAGTATACATTTTTAACTGCTCAAGGCTTCTTGAATCATAAACATTGTGCAGTGAAATGGCTCTTTCCCTGTATTTCTCCCTGGTCTTTATGGTCTTCACCCAACCAAATCATGTTAGCCATTGATTTTTAAAAGATGTCTATGAACAACATGTGCATCAGCAGCAAAATCTACTGAGATTTGTGTCACCTGTTGGACATTAAAGTGCTGTTTTTTCTTTTCCAAGCAAAAGTATTCAAAGTGATCCCTCCTACAAGCTGTCTACACTGGCAAATGTTGCAAGATACAGAATTAAACATGAGACTCATCTAGGTCTACATCAGTCTCCCCCAGCTCAGTGGGAATGAAAGTGAACTGGCTGGACAGCAGGGGGTTCTCCATGCCATTTTCTTCA